ATTTCCCAGGGGATGGGAAAAGGAGTTCAGCCCTGTAGAGCAGCTCCCTGCACAAACTAAGTTACCTGTGCCTGTAAAGAGAGCAGGGCTTGGATTCTGGTTGGGTTCAGACCCTGGTAGGATGGAGAAGGGTGGCTTGTCTGAAGTGCTGGGCTGTGGGCAAGTCTGACCCTCTGCCTGCTTCCCTGGGATGTGCTGCAGTCTGTGCAGGTGCGTTGGAGGGAGTTCACTGCTTGTTTCCTGTGGTCATCGTGTATTTTCCCTGGGCTGCTGTCACTGCTTTGAGACAAGGCACTGCTTGCCAGGCCTCTCCAGTGCCCCAGCAAGGCAGGTGCAGCAGGTTTCTGCCATCCTGGGGCAGAGCTCCCTGCTGAAGCAGTGAGCTGTTGAAGCAGTTTGGTGGTCTGGGGCTCCTTTGATGCTCTCTGGGTCTCTCTTCCACCGAGCTGGCAGGGGCTGTGCTCGGGCAGTGAGACCACAGGCAGCTCCTCTTTGTGGGTGCTGAGCATCCCTTTGTCCTGCTGCTGCCTCCCAAAGCCACCACTGTGTCCTCTCCTCTCTGCATCCCTGTTGTTGCCATGCTGGTGTTGGGGGGCCCTGTCCCTGGCTGCCTGCAGGGATCCTGTGTGTGAGTGTGTCCCCGTGTCCCCTGTGGAGCAGGGAAAGTGGGGGATGCTGGTGACATGCTGGGATGCCAATGGCTGCATCCCCTCCCCAGCTGAAGTTTGGAGGGTGGTTTTCAGTGCCCAGGCTCCCTGGCCTCAGGAGGGAGGGCTTGGGATGGGTTTTAGGGATGCTGGCAGTGTCCCTTGATCCAGCTTTGGGGTGCAGCTGGAGGTGCATTAACAAATGGTGCATGTGAGCAGAATGGAGGAGACTGTGCATGAGCCAGGCTTATTCAGAGGTTACTATTGCTGCCCTAAAGACAAGAGGTGAAGGTGCTTTTATTTATCCACTGTAGGTCATGGCCAAAACCGCTCACCTGGGAGAGGGTGCAGGTCCTGTGCAGACCCTTTCTTTCTGCCTAGCCTGAAGCAAGGAGTCTCTGTAGTAGCTGTGAGCCCACATCATGAAACAAATCTTTCCTTCACTTTAAAGATGATTCTTTTCCTTTTTTTTTTTTTTCCCTCCAGAAGCTGCTTATGCATTGCACATTAAATAGTCATTAGCTAAAAGACTTTGTCATCCAGGGAGCTGAGCTCCCCAGCCCAGCCATGCCTTTCCCTCAGCTCTTGAGCATCCAAGGTGCCAGCCTGTGGATCAGGCTTTTTCTCACTTGCATTCTCCTTGCAGCAGTTCTAGGAGACGTGGAGGTGACCTCGTCTGGGCTGACAGGCAGGACCAAGGAATGGCTTGGGCCCCCTCCAACTGGGAGGGGAGGAAGGTTTGGGCTGAAAAAATCGATGGTGAGTTCAACAGCAGGAACACAGCTGGGTGTGAGAGCAGGTGGTTGAGTTTGAGAGCGGGCTGAGGTCCCAGCATCAGGCTGGGCACTGGGTGCTGAAGTGTTTGCCAGCCTGGTGTGGGTTTCGTGTTGTTTCTACCACTGCAGTTCCATGAAGATCCCTTCCTGCCAGCAGTTTCCTTTGCTGAGCACCCAAAGCTTCTCTGGCAAGTCCTCTGAGCATGAAACTTGTCTCCAGCAGTGCTCTTTGCCTGCAGCAGGCAGGAGTCACTCCTGTGCCGAGCAGGTGAGAGGCTCTAAGGTTGGTTCTAAGATGCTGGAGCTGTGGAAGGAGCACAGGGTGGCAGCCCTGAGGCCCTGTGAGTGCATCTCAGACCAGACTTGGTGGGTCTCACCTTGACATCTGTCTCCAAGCTCTGCCTTCTGAGCCAGGAAGCATCTCCCACCACCCAGTTTCCTTTCTTAAAACACCATTGTATTGGTGCCTTGAGTGCACAGGGGTGTCATATGTGAGGTCTCCTTGCCCAGGCTCTCCAGTTTCCACTCAGCTTTGTGGGAGATGTTTTGGAGTGAGTCTCCACAGGCTGGAGAGCCAGTTAGTTTTCAGGGCTTGGATCCTCCCTGACTGGATTGTAACTCCCTAAATAATGAATGTTGGTTTCCAAACAGAGGGTTCCTTGTTCCCTGCCGAGCAGATGTGAGGACTGAGTTTGCCTGTGGCCCAGAGTCTCCTGAGAAGCTTTTGTTTATAGCATCTGCTGTGCCAAAAAATGTGTGAGGCTCCCTGGCAGCAGAGATGCTCCTGTCAGTTGGGTGTCCTTGGCTGGTGTGTGTGTAAATGTGTGTGGGATTAATTGGAACAAGCTCATCAGAGGGTATTCAGCAGGTGCAGCACCAGAGGACACCCCCAAAGGCATTGTTGGAGCTGCAGCAACACGGAGGTTTGCCTGCTCTCCTGACACCATCAGGGTCCTCCCTGGGCGAGCAAAATACAAATTAAACTCTTGCTTTGTAATTCAGTGCACAAAGTTTTTCTTAGCTCCTTAAACAAAGACATGATTGACTTGTCTGCAGTGCCTAAATTTAATTTACCTGAAGCTTGTGGAGCATTACCAAATGCCACTCTAAGGCACATTTTCTAATAGTGCTGCAGTCACAGGAACCATCTGTGCCAGGACAGCTGTGCCACCTAGAAAAGCAATAAGGAAATGTTCAGGGGGCTGGGCTACAATTCCTGACATGTCTCAGGAAACCCAGACCTATCAGACCAGGGTGCCAAGCTGAAGATCACCGAGGACATCCCAGATTCAGCCTCCTCAGTTCTCCCTTCACTCTACAGCTAAGGTGGGAGTTCCCAACGTCACTGCAAGCTGCACAACAATTCCAGAACCCATTTACCTCCCCAGACTTGCCCTTAGACCAGGAATCTAGTTAAATCCTGCTGAGTATCACAGAGCTGTCTGAGGTGGGGAAGATGCAGATCTCCCCCCACAGGACAGGGGGGTTGGCTGGAGCTGGGCTGTGTCGTGGCTGCTGTTTCATCCTGTCCCTGCAGGGACTGGGGGCTGATTTCTTAGTTCTGCTTCTTTCCCCCAGGGCTGGGAGCCTGATCCCTGTAGTCTTTAGGGAAGTGGAACTGTGGGGCTTTGGAAGAGCATCACTCCAGGGCAGGGTAGGGGAAGCTGCTGGACTGGGATGGGGATTTGGGGAGTGGAAGCCCTCTGGAAATAAGCATTGTGGGCATGATGGACAGGCTTCATTTCAAGTGAAATGAAATTGCAGTTAGAAAATTGGAACAAATAATCCAGTTATTTTTAAGACCCAGTAATAAATCACTGAAATCCAGATTAATGTATTATTCCCCTTTAGATTTCTCTCTTGAAATACAGTTATTTCCAGCTCCAAACCCTGGCTCTTGCTGCAGCCTGTCCTGGTGTCCATAGGACAGTGCTGTGCTCTCATGTTTCATGTAAGAACAAAAGGAAACAGCAGCCTTGTGGATTATGTGTACAGTGCTGTAACTGTTAGGAGAATAAAGGCATGAAGTTATTGGGTTGCTTGCAGGACGTGGGTAAAACTTGTGGGGAAAAAAATGGTCATCTTTGAGTAGACAATGTCTTGCTGTATAAAGCGAGTCCAAGAGACAGAAAAAGATGATGTGGAAAAGAAGGAAGCAGGAGGGAACATGATCTGAGATTTTACTTAAGGTCAGGATGCAAATAATTTTAGTTTAGAGCTTGTCTCCCAAGTCCAAGAAAATAAGAAAGGGGCAAATCCATCTGTTCCTTGGTCCAGTTCACTAGAAAAGGGAGGGGAATTATATCTAGTCCAAAGTAGTGCTTAGTAAATGTTGTCCATGATTGAGTTTTGTTGGTGCTTGAGACCCATTTTCTGGGGTTGTCTTCTCCTCTTGCCCTTTCTTGCACACCCACTCTGTGTGACAGGCAGAGAGAGGTGGTTTTCAGGCTGGTGCTTAGAAGAGGAATGTCCCTGTTTACCCACAGCTCCTTGTAGGATAAGGATGCTGAAGAAGAATTGCCACTAGGATAAAGTCTGAAGTGGCCCTGCTCTCCCATATGTTGAATCTCTATTTGACCTAATTGCTCATGTTCCTTTAATAGTTTAATGCTTTTATTTCTGCTGTCACAACTTCTAATGCCTATAGGAAGCCTCGGATTCCAATGTTACTCAGTGAAAATTAGGGGCCCTCATTCTCCACGGAGAAATGCTCTTGGGCAGTGTGGTAATTTCATGCCTGGAAGGAGTCATATTTGTTGGATAATTTTTGTAACTTAACCAAATTAGCCTTGAGAAGCCACAGTTCTTAATCAGAGCCTTGAACTCTCTGCTCCATTAGCCAGAAACATCAGCTCCCTGCACAAGGGGTGGACACTTGGTTTGCAAAGCAGGAAAGTGTTCTGATTTTGTCAGCACTCAGGGCAGCAGCGTCCCTTGGGTTTGAGGTTGCTCATACTACTCTGAGCCCTCAGTAGGGACAGACACAAAGCCACATCAGGTCAGCTGCTCTTGCAAAATGAAGCAGCCAAGTGATGTTCTCCTTCACCAAAAGAAGATTCCTTCAGTGGGAATTAGACTCCTGAGAAGACTCTAAAGAGTAATAAAGGACAGTTTGGGAATTAATAGGGATTTGGTTGATAATTCCAGTAAATGGGGTTCCAAAATCATGGGAGGGGACTTGAGGGGAAGGTGAGAAATACCAGCAGGCTCTGATGTGTCTTTGTCCCCTGTGCTGACTGGAGATGACCCAGTGCTGAGGCTCTGCCAAGGAGATCTCTCTCTCTTCTTCTGTGGAGGGGCCTGTGAGGCCAGACAGAGAGAAAACAAGTGCTAATTAATGAGAGAACTAAAACTTGGACCCATTCCCCTGCACCTCAGCCTTGGCACAACGCTGCTGTCCTGCTTCCCTCAGACTCACCCAGCAGTGACATCTCCACACGCCGTGGGTCCTGAGTGTTGTGCAAGGATGGAGTTGGGGGAGTCCTGATAACTCCTCCCCACTCTCTGCAAAGGTCACTGGCTCGATCCACTGCAACTAAAGAGGAAACAAATGCCTGAAGAGCAGAAATCCCCGAATATGTCACATCAAATCACGGAGCAGCTAATGGGACAGAGCCACGTGGTCGGAGCATGTGCATTCTGCTCTATATCATTAATTTACTGATGTTAAATATTTCAGGAAGTAACTTCCAGGACTTCCAGGACTGTCCTAGTGGCTGTGATCACAAATTATTCATCAGTGGCACTTGAACAAGAAAAACCTTTCTGAACAAGGGCATTTCTGAGGCTCTGGTTGGGGTTTTTTTTGCCTTTCAGCTGACTCCCTCTGCCTTCCAGAAGATGTCTTTCACCACCAAGCAGAGGCTGGCCAGCACCTGGGAGATGAATCTGCCCCAGATTGTCCAGCTTCTAGACAGGAGTGAGACCTTCCATCACAAGGTAGCATTTTCCTGCCCTTTTCCTTGCTGTTTGATGTGACATTTGAAGAGGGTGAGTGCTTGTGACAGGCTTGCCTTCAGCTTATCAAAGTACCTCCGTGCCCAGGGCCCTCTTGTGGTTTCAAACTGCTGGTGGTGGAGTTCCTTCTGCTGGGGGAAAGGCAAAACATTTCCCCCTGGTGAGATGTTGGAGTCCTGACCTGCCCTAAGCCAACACAAATAACCTCTGCAGGAGCTGGTGGGGTTTGCTGGAGCGTGGCTAAAGCCAAAGCACCATGCTGGGGGAAGGCTGGGGCAGGACACAAGGGCACGAGCTTGCCATTTGCCATTCTCCTGCTGAAACAGCCACCTCTTGCTTTGGTGTGGTCACCATCAAGTGCTTGGGCTCACAGGATGGCAGCGCTGGCCTTTGAAGGCTGAGAGCCTGCTGGTAATTCCTCCTGATTTAACAAAGCCAATTGCATTAATGCTTTGGGTTGGGACCCTGACAGGGTGTTGGGTTTTGCAGGCTGCCAGATACACAGGGGGCTCTCCCTGGGTAGAAGGGAGTGGATGTGCTTTGTCTGGTTCAGTATTGGAGGTGTGTTTAAAGCTGCTTTTCTTAGAGGACTGCTGAGTATAAAGCTTGGTCCCAACACGTAGGTGACTGAGGTGGGCTGCTGAAACTGTCAGCAAGAGGTGGATAAGGATTGCCCTGGAGAGCACAGGAGGTTGGGAATACCTCAGACAAGTGCACAAATCACTGGCAGTGTGCTGCAGCCACTCACTCCAGCATGGCTGTGCCTTCCTTGGAGATGCAGGAGACCTGCCTGGGTGCTTTGAGTGACAACAGTGCAGCTGGAGAGGGGAGACAAAGCAGGGAGGGGTTTCCTCAAAGCAATGTCTCTGCTCTGTGAGCATTTGCTGTTGTGTCATTCCATATGTGCCTCTGCAATGGTATTAAATAAATCATCAGTAACAGATTACGAGAAAGCAGCCATTTAAAGCTCATGGAAAAACGAGATACCAACTCCAGTCTTGCTCAAGTTGCCCAGCACTGCTGAGAAAAGAGCTGAACCTTATCACCATCCAGCATTCACCTCATTTGTCTTTTTCCTCACTGCTGGGTTACTTTCTTTTTGCCCTCACCTCCTCTGGTACTGTTCTCTTCTTACTGGTGTCTGAGTTCTAGATAAAAAGAGATATTTGGAGTTGTGTGGGACTCAGTGTCTCTGTCTCAGAGTAAAGGTCATCCCAGAATTGTTTCCCATGGAGACTGATGTAAATTCTGGGGTTTCACTTGCTCCATGGGCGCTCAGGGCTCTGTCAGTCGGTGCCCTGGAGCTCTGTGACCCCATCAGCACAGGGCTCTGCCTGGTGTTTTGGGGAAGGAAACCTGGAGAAATGCTTGCCAGAAGAGCTGCTCAGCTTGAGCCTGGTCTGTGTGGTGCAGCAGCTTTTGATCAGCTCAGAGCAGAGGTGGGTGAGCTGCTGTTTCCCCAGTGGGAGCTGGGCAGTACTCACTGAGAGGCTGTACTTCACTGGGGGTCAGTGCAGGATCCTCATTCATGAACCTTCCCCCCAGCAGCTGAACCTCTCCCTGCTCTCTCTTGCCTCTCCAGGTCTCAACAGCTGACTCAGACCAGACCTTGTTTGATGTTTTCCCATCAGAGGTGGTATTTCAGAACTATGTCCCACACAAGGTCTGTGAAATGCCGCTGGTTCTGAGGAACAGGGACATGGTGAGTGCTGGGATGTGGAGGTTTCACAGTGTGCTGGAAGAGGAGAGAGGTGCAGTTCCTGTGGTGTAAGCAGAGCAAGTTACCTGCTGCAGCACACCCAGAATGAAATGTCTCAGCACCTCTGTTTGGCAAGATGATGGACATCTTCCCATGCTGGGGATCCTCCCCTGATTTTTGGCTGTGTATCTACCCCAAAGGAGCTTTTCTAGCCCCTTTCTTTCCTTTGAAAGCCCTGAATTGATGGGAACATTGAAGGCTGTACAATTCTTACCTGGTCTCATGTTTTAACTCAAGGGTGCACCCTGTCCTGTGGATCCTTGGTCAATCCTGGCTCCTGGCAGGAATCTCTGCCTCTCTCAGCCTGTTCAGCTGCCTCTGTGCAGCTCACACTCAGAGCTCAGGGGTTGAGACTTTTCCACTTTATGCTGGAATTAGTTATAATTAGTGGCACTGGCACTGCAGGAAACGTGTTTTGAAACAGCCCTGGAATCAGACTGATTTAGCAGAAGCAGTGGGAGGCCTTAGGTGCCACTTCAGGCACCTGCTAAGCTTAATTCAGCCCTGCTCAGGTTTTCCAAAGGCAGCGTGGTGCTCTGCTTTCCCTTTGGAGAACTACAGCACATCCAGAGCAACGTGCTCTTGAAGGTCTCAACCCTCACCTGAAAAAAAAAATTGTGGTTGTTTTGCAACTTCCCAAGAAAGTTGAGAAGGGGAAAAGTTGAAAAATGTCAGCGATTGTGTTCCACTGTAGAAAAGAAAACTGAGACCTTTTGAATTTCAGTCAGGGGAACATTTTTTTTCAAAAGGTTCTTGTGCCAGGAGCAAGCTGGGGGGAAGCGACAGGACGGAGGGAAGGAGCAGGGTTCAACATTTTCTCCCCAAACACTTTTCTCACACACGAAGGTTTCTCTTGGTACATAACATTAAACGTATTAGAAGCGGGAAAAGGCCAGAAAAACAACAGTGCAATTAAAGATGTTGTTCTGTAATGAGAAGTAAGATGCATGCATGAGAAAAAGGCAGGATGGGAAGATGGAGTTGGGCACAGGAGCAGGTGAATGAACACCCTCTCCAAATCTACCTGGTGGAGGGGAAAAAACAAGTGGACAAAACAAGCTGTTGGGGCATATTGCAGGTGGAGGAACAGTAAGAGAAGTCAAAATATGTCCTGAAATAACAGGTTTTGACAGGCACATGGCTGCAAATGGGAGATCCTTTGGCAGGGAAGGATGCAATGTGGTCCCTCAGTTATTCCTGGGGAACAGTGCACCACTCCTGGCCTGGCATTTATCCTGGGAATATTGGAAAGGGGCAGCATGGGTGCCCATGCCCAAGGGATGCCATTGGTGGGGTCCACATTGATTCTGGGCACTTCTGCTGTAGGTTTCCTCTTTGCTGATTCAAATGTGCCTCACTTTCTCTTTTCCTACTGCTCTTTTTCATTTCCACTGATTCTTTTGGCTTCAGCTGCTCCAGTATCCATGAAGCTCTTCAAAATGTTTGCCTTTGCCAAGTGCCAGCCAACAGACAAGCAGTGAATTTGCTCTACTCGTGCTTCCTCAAGTGGAAAAGGACATTTGCATTAACATTTCTGCCACTCCCAGTAAAAAATAAAGAACTTGTACAGCTGCATCTTGGGGTTTGTATGCCCTGTAAAGGGCTGTCAATTTTTTCTTCCCCAAAAGAATTAATTTTGAAGTTAGTAAGACCTCAACCATTGGACAGCACTGCTGTAAAAGTAAGATCAGCTCTGAGGAAAACACTTGGCATATTTAAGTGCACAAAGGCAGAGATGATAACCCCAAGAGAAGTTATTGTATTCTAATTATGCTGGCTTTTGGTAACGTCCCGGAGAAAAGCAACACCGTGCTCTGTCTCCAAGGTTCCTCACCAGATTCCCAGATTCCTCTGAATCATACTGACTTTGTGTGGTAGCCTGAGGTTGTCTGCTCCATAAAAATCCAGCTGACAGCCAAATGTATTCCAAATGGAAGCTCTCTAGCTGTGCAAATTCAGAAGTTCTTCTCCTGTGTGTGTTGCCAAATTGCTTTTCTGTCTTCTGGCTGCTCCTTGCCACCCTCAGAGATGTCCCGGGTGGCTTTTGCTGAAGTTCTTTGCTGGGTGTGTTCATCTTCCAAGGGTCCTGGTGACCAAAATGTTTCTCTGCAGTGTGAAATTGGCCCCTGGAACTCGCTGGAAGCAGAGGGTGTTTGGAGAGCCTTGGCCATGGGTTATCAGGCTCAGGTGGGTGGTGCACAATGAACCTCCTTTATTTTTTTTCCAGAGTCTCATGTGAGGTTGTTGTCTATCGGTGAAGGTGCCTGTCAGTCAGAATCGCCTGTTTTAGACTATGTGAGATATGAGGTTGATATCTCTGTGCCAGAAAATGCCTGCTTGCTGTCTCTGTGTACCCCAGAGGGCAGGAATTGGCAGCAGGGTGCCTGCAGGGTGAGGGGAGGAATGCCCAGCTGCCCTGCACTGGCAGCTGCCTGGCCACAACCACCAGGCAGCAAGAGCCCCTGGAGAGCCAAGATTGGCTTTTAATAATGAAACCACACTGTGAGTCAGTGCTGGTCATGTTTCTCCAGGCAGAAAACGCCTTTGAAGCCCATAATTGATAGGCACAGCCCGGGGTGTCGTCTGGCTCTCCATCACTTTGGCAAGTTGATTGCTCTCATCTTCTGCATCAGCCTTTCCTGGTGGTGTCTTGTGCTTCTTCCTTGCTTCTTTACAGCCCATTTAAATTCTCCATCTCCTTGTTTCGGGGGGTTGTCACTTTGTCTCGCTGTGTTCCTCCTCTTGCTCTTCAGGTTTGCTTTTACTCCCAGTAAGGCCACGGTGTCTGGGCTCCTCCTCTTGCTGGTCTGCCCACTGTGAGCCCATAGCTGGACTGCCCCAGCCGGTTAGAAGGGAATTTCTTCCTTCCCCCAGGCTATTTTGCCTTCAGGGAGCACATTCCCCTCTGGAACAGGGCTGCGGGGCTGTGTGCAGGCAGAAGCAAGCAGGTTTTTGGGCTTGTGGGATATGCAGATGACTTGGTTCAGGTGTTCTGTCTCCATACTGCTGGTGCCTGACCTGTTTGGCACTTCCCTCCCAGAAGGCACTGCCCTCCTGCCTCTGGCCGAGATGCTTTTCCCAGGCAGGTGGGATTCAAGTCCACCCCTGTGTACCGTGTGCTAAAAGTGCTTTGGAATCTGGTTAAGGAAGGATGTCACCAGGGCATGGTCAGGTCTCTCCTCCTGCCCTTTCCACAAGTGGCAAAATCATCATTCCATGTCTTTCCTGCAGGCTGGTGAAGGTCACTATGGAGAGAGCTCACCTTATTTCAAGTTGGTCGGTGTGTGCTGTGAGGTACCACTGTAAAGTCTTGTAAAGTCTGGTACTTCACACATCCCCTTCAGCCCTGAGCAGAACAAGGTGAGTCTGCAGGAACATTATCTCCAAAGCCATTGTTTTTCTTGCCCTCTGGTTACAGCCCACCCCGTGCTGCAGGGTTGGCTCCAGGCTGTGGGCAGGCAGCCTGCAGCAGGTCACACCTTGGCACGGGGTGCTGCCAGTCACTGCAGCCAGCCTGGATGGGCTGTGCTTTCCCTCCAGGCACTTCCTTGAGCGTTCCCAAGGGAAGATGCACATGGAACAGCAGGGAAGTGACAGGGAGGGGTGTTGATAAGATGTTCAGCCATCTCTAGGCTCAATGGGAGAGGTTTAATAATTATGGAAAATACTAGAGGAACAGATAGATTCAGAGAGCTTTTCTCTTTCCCACCTGGCAACCACCTCCTGCCTCGCCCTGGGCTGAACCAAAGATGATGCTTTTCCACACCCTCTGTCCTGCAGGTTCTGCTGTCCCTGAGGGCAGTTGCCTGCCTGTGATGCAGCTGCCAGGCCAGGGGAGGGGACGTGCTGTGCTGGTGGCAGGGAGCCAGCCTGGCACGGGCACACTGAGCTCTGGGTGCTCTCAGCCAGGTTGTTGAGCTGCAGGTGACTTGGACTCCTGCCCCAAAGAGCCTCGTGTAGGGGCAGGTACAACCTGCAGGCAGGTGTTGCCCCAGAGCCCGTGGGTTGGGTCCTCGTGTGTGTCCCTGTCAGCTGGCACCTGCTCCGTGCCAAATGTGCCCTGCTTTTGCTGGGAGGTTGGAACATTTGGAGGCCCTGGCAAGTCTGATCTTAGTGCTGGGATGTGAAGGGTCGATGCTCTTGTCTGGAGGCTTGTTAATACACAAGGATTTAGGATGTGGTGTGGAAGGGAGGAAACCTTGCTGGGAGACAAGGAGAGGCAGGGTGACTCTTTCCACCAGCATCCTGCTACCTCTTGGCACAGTTCTTTGCCTGACCTGTTTGGAGAGGCAGAGTGAGGGGGGAGCTCTGAGCCAGCTGATGTTTCTGCACCAGGGCAGAGGTGCAGAATCTCTTTGGGCACAGCTGTTCTCTCATCTTTCCTTTGCTGCTTAGATTGGTTTAATGCTTTGTCCCATCCTCAAACAGCATGGATATAGAAACCCAAAGAGGAAATGCCCTGTGTTCCCAGCTCCCTGTCCTTAGGAGGGACTGAGGAATTATTTAGCATCATCAAAATTTAGACTAAAAATTATGCTGGCCTAGGGCAGTTCTCTGTACTACCCAAGTGACACAAGAGCTTAATGTCACTGAGTTGGGCTTTGAAAAGTACACAGGTGTCTTTAAAATGTGATTTATTAGTGCAAATTAGTGTTCATTTTTGGGGTGGAAGAGGTGAATTGATGCCCATGAAGGGCAAAGCGCTGCTTTTGAAGTTTAGAGAGGCAGCAGAGCAACATGTGAACGTGGCCACAGGCAGAAAGAGGGTGAGACAACCCAGGAGAGCACTGATGTCCCCAGCTTTGTCCCTTGCCTTGCCCTTGAACTGGCGAGGGTGTGGCCCAGGGAGCTCTGCCAGGGAAAGCTCCTCTGCTCAGCTTCAGCAACACCCCGGCAGCGTGTGCTGAGCGGGGCTCTGGGGGTCGTGTAGGGCATCAGGGGAGGGTTGTGCTGCTCAGCAAGGAGCACGTGGGGTTTTTTTACCACAGAATCAGAATTTTGCACGAGTTGAACATTTTGTCTCGTGCTCGATGGAGCTGCGAGTCAGCGAAGTACCCGAGAGCTGTGGCTCAGCTAGAAACGCATCGATAGCACGGGCAGGAGGTGCAGAGCACCTTGAAAACCCCTTAGCAAGGAGCCAGGCACTGAGAAATGGTTCTGAAAAGCCACCTGCGCTGGGCTTGCAGCCACTGGCACGCAGAATATCTGTGTTTTAGTTATGGAAGGCCTAGGATGCTACCTTGAACCTCTACATCTCAGCTGCTCCGTGATCCACAGGGCACAAACCCCCATGTCAGGGTTGTGGGCGTTGCAGTTGGTTTATGTAATTCTCTTGCTTTAAATCTGTTTTTCCTTGGGGTGAGCCTGACTTCAGCAAAGGTTCAAGGCAGTAAAATTGTGTCTGAGCCCTAGATAAAAGGACCATGTGAGTTGTTAGTGGCCGAAATGCCACGTGCCAAGTTGCCCTTTCTTGACAAACGAGCAGCTCCCCATCGCCTCGCAGTCGTTTGGGAATGTGCCGCACGGTCGGGCTGCCAGAGAGTAAATGAACAGCTGACGTGTCTCTTTGTTTATTGGCACTTGCATTATAAATATGAAATGCTAATGTTTCTGCTGGGCAACATTTCCAATTAGTTCCTCTTGCTGCCTCTGATTTACACGTTCCCTGTTTCGTGGCTCCGGTTGCCCGGTGTGGGTCCCCTCATGCCATCCCCGTGTTCCCGGGTGTCCTTGCATTGTGGTCTGACAGCCTCTGCCTAATTGGAAACCATTATGGAACTGACTGGCAAATACCCAAAAGACAAGAATATTTACATTTGAGTGTCCTTCAGGCTTATTAATAGATTATCTGAAAGGAAGAAGGAAGCAGGAAGCATATAAAATCAGCGCACGGCTTATTCTGTTCTGTGTCCTCTTGTTCTTTCCACTGTAGCAAGACAACATTTTCAGGCAATACAAGTTCAGTCTGTAAGGTTTGCAAAATTTATTCCTGATGTTCAGTGGAGAGACTGAATTACTGCTCACTGATTAATAGGAAAGATGACAGGACAATGAGTTACTGCATTACTGAAATTAACTCCTTTAAAATCCGGTTCCAGCCCTGTCAGATGTTTTGTAGCACACGGAAGTTACTCCAAACAGACTTTTAAGATGACTCTTGCGGGGACGAAAGGGACAGAGGATGAAGGCAAATTGCCCTGCACAGAATGAACCTGGAGCACAGTGACTGATTTCAAAGGCTCCTGTGGATTGGTAGCTGAGGGGGCAGGAGCAGGGGGGACCCCTTCTCCTGAGGAGCTCTCCTCAGGCACCAGTCTCTCCTCTCTTGTAATGGCCATTATTTTCCAGCCTTTATGATATCATGGTTTCAGCAGGGAGCTCTCCCTGCTTGACTTACCACGTTACCTCCTGCTACAGGGATCTTTTCATTACAAGTTTTCTGCTGCAGGGAATTCAGTGAAGGATTTAGGATTGGTTATGCGGGATAACTGACATCCGAGTCTGGTGTACTGGGCAGGCATTAAGGTTGATGTCACTGTGACAGCAATTAATTCTGGCCTGAGTCTGCAAAGGGTCTGAAAGCAGTGCTGGGTTAATGTCTGGACTTGATGATCTTGAAGTTCTTATCCAACTGAAACAACTCTATGATTCTGTGAAATAGCACTTGAGACAAGCACTTGGTTTAGTTTCAGTGGATACTAATTCGAATGCCAGGGGTGATATTTGGAAGGCCAGAGCTGGTAACTTACTGCTTATCAAAGGGGAATAAGAACAGAGGAACCATCCTACAGTCATATGTATTTTCCTTGAAATTGAGAAATTGTCTGAAGACAAAAGTCGTATTTTCATGAAAATTTATAGCCTCAAGCTGCATCTAAATCATCTCTAAAGCAGAGAAGTGATGCACCTTCTTGCTCACTCGGGCATGCTTATTTAGAAACCTGGTTTTAAACAGTCTGCTTGGGGTTTTCCGTTGCCAAGTAAGGCAAGATTTTAAACTGGTTTCAGCTGTACCCCTGGGTTTTGCAGCAGAGTTATTGCCCTCATAACACAGGGCAGTGCTGCAGAGGAGAATTTCCAACCCTCTTCTCCCAAGAGAGGGCAATTCTCTTTTCTAAAACTGAAGGGGCCATGGCTTCACAGCAGCATGGACAGTCAGCTTCTGCCTAGCACAACCCTTCTCTTTGGGTTTCCTCCTGTTTGTCCTGACACTGCCTTCACTTTTGGTGCAAGTCCCTTTCCCCAAGCTGTGCAGGCAGTCCCAGTGCCCCCACTGACAGTGGAGCTGGGAACAGCTGCCTGGGCTGGCTTTTGGAGGGATTTATTCCTTGGGCTCTTATTTACATTCCTCTTGATTCCCTCGCTCCTTAGCAGTGGCAATGACTTGAAATTTTCCTTTTACTTCCCTGAAATACCTCCAGTTGTTGAAGTTTCTTTTCTTTTTATCCCCCTGCTGATCTGAACTCCTTGCATCCTCCTCTGTCTACCTGGCATCTGGAAGGGAGAGATAAGTGAATATAGCATGCCAAGGCTTAATAAGACACACAGCTTTCAATTGGATTTACAATGCCTTTGTTACAGTAGTGTGGCCAAAATAACAACAACAACAACAAAAAAAAAGAGGTAAATAGCATTCTTCATTTGCTAATGCATTTCTGAGGATCTGAGCAGGCTGGGACGTGAAGTGCCCAGATAATAGGTGCTTTAAATTCCCATGGGCCCGTCCGTAGCTTTTATTTTAGAGGGCTTAGGCTGCAAGATTGAGTGCAAAATTGCTAATTCAGAGAGACTTGCTGAAGATGAAACGCTCTCCTGAAATGTGATCTTCGATTCCACGGGTCGTTTGCCGCAGTTCCCTTCCTGGTATTTTACCTTTCAAACAGGAGGAAGCAAAAGCCCTTCTGCAATTTCCAGTGTGAATATTTGAGATGCCTAGAGAAAAAAAAAAAAGATCCTTCTTTACTCTTTCATCATCTTGGATGTGACAGCAGCTGTTAGGGCGACCTTAGGCCCCAGCTGAGCAGGTAATTGGCAGGCACTGGGTCTTTGCTGTTGGGTTAAAGCAGGAGCTGTGTGTCTGTGCCTTGTCCAGCAGCCTTAGGATGCTTCCAGGCTTGGAGAGGGTGGGTATGGAAGCAGGTATGGAGGTGGGTATGGAGGTCCCAACCATGGAAGAATCTGAACCGGCTGTGGTTAAGGGAGTTTGCTGCTGTGTGCAATCCTTAAATCAGATTGTCTGCTTGCTGCCTCGACAATGATAAAAATATCAAACGAGTTAAAGGCACCGAGGAAAAAAGATCAGGCCAGCAAGTGAGTGATAAGAGGCAGAGCTTTTATCAGCTCATCGATACAGGAGCTGCTGGAGGCAGTGGCTCCTGGCCCTGCTGCAGCAGCTTTACCTCTGATTCCAGCACAGCAAGGCCCTGCTGTACACCTGGAGATTGATCTGCTCATCCCTGCAGTAAAATGGTTTTGGTGATTTGATTCACCTTCCTACTGCTAAATGCCAGAGAGTTGGCAGGGGGGCTGTCTGGCTCTTTCCTGAACAAGCCAATGACTGGGAATAGCAGGGTTTAGTTTGCTCTGGTAGGATGGGATGTCTGAGGGTTTCCCATTTTCAGATCCTGATCCCACCCTTGTCCAGGTAGGCACCCAGTCACTTCTAGAGATGTTGGAAGAGAAAGGTGATTAAAACATCAACCTCTTGCTGCAGAAAGGGAACAAAGTTATCTGCTGTGTCCTCTGAGGCCAGGATGAGAGGTAAAGGGAGATTATGATTCTACCACAGGAAGAACTCTAAGTCTCTGGCAGAACCTGGAATAGGCTGATGAGGGCAGGGGTGGAATTCTTAGTGATTTAAGCACTTGTTAGATATCTGGCAAGAATAGTTTGGGGTTAGGGCTGAGTCAGATCTGTGTGGGGAGGTAAATCAGATGGTTTTTTAAGGGTGTGTGTCCCCAGCCTTGTCCCTGTGATGTTATGGGAAGGGAGGGGGAATACACACATACCCCACATTCACCTGGCATTGAAGCAGCTGCTGTGTCCACCTTGGTAAGTATTTCACCAAAGATGAGCTGTTGATTGGGCTCGTGGCAAAGTCCTTTTGAAAATGCACCTGAGCATCCCCTGCCAAGCTCCACCAGCATCACTGCACTGCTGGGGCTGGAGTCACTGCTGTGGCACAACTGGGCTCTCAGTGGTGCCTTTAACAGCCTGCAGTGGTGGTCAAAGCAGCTTCTGCTATTGCTGCAGCCCACTACCTGAAATTATTCTATTTTGGTGCCTCAGAATCAAAGCTTCAGATAATTTCATCCCATTCTGCCAGTGTGCTGTGAAAGCAGGTGAATCAATAGGGTTATTTCTTCTTTGCAAGTTAGCAGCCCTGTCCAAGTCATCCTACTGGAATGAAAGGTCTTTGAGGTACAAAGTACTATTAATTATTGAATGCTACTGTCAGGGGCATAAAAAACCAGCAGTTTTTCTGCTGCCCTGGGGATGGCACTGAATGTCCTTGCTGAGACTGTTTCTTTTGCTGCAGGATTATTTGCACCAGCTCCTCTGCATCACCAACAGGGGAAAGTTCATTGTGCCAATCCAGGCTGTTGTCTTGGGCTTCCCTGCCCAGCTGGAATTCTCTGTCTGTCCAGTCAAGCACAGCACCCAGAAGACTCTGCTGGTTTGCAACCTTGGTAAGTGGGAACCCCGTTACCAAACTGGCCCTCAGAGGCAAAGCAGCTCATCTTTCTTTGTGCAAAACACTTCCAGTGCCTGAAGCAGGATGAGCCTTCTCCCAGTTTTCCTGCAGAGTGCTGGAACGTGTCAGCAGCTGGCTTGCACCCTCCTGAGCCCAAGCACCTTCTGAAATGGTTACCTACCCCTCAGCCAAGGAGACCCACTCTCTGGGAGGCCACAAGCACGTGGCATTCCCGTGGTCCCCTCATCAGATGCCCAACGTGAGCTGTGTTGTGAACAGCCTGTGCTGCTCCTGTTAGTCAAAGCTGATCTGATTTCCCTTGTCAGCTGACGGCATCACTCATCTCTTCTCTTTCATGATGAACCTTTGAAAGTCAGCTTAAAATTTCAAACAGATTATGTAAATCTTTCAATCGAAGCAGCATTTTATTCTAATTAAGTCACCCCTACATTCGTTCCGATTTCTTTTTAAATACTCTGCAGTTCCTGTGCTTCTGCCCTTTTTTTTTTAATTTACTTTGCTTTGTGTTAAATGTTCATCAGAATGTCATCATGAGCTTCCTTATAGGTTGAGCTCCTCTGATGCCTGTTGATCTACCCATCTGCCCATAGGTACATGCACAGGAAATATGAGAAATTTGGGGTATATGCAAAAAGCAACTGGGCTGATTTAGAAGATAAAATCACAGAATAACTTTTGTTGTGAGGGACCTCTGGAGATCATCCGTGTTTGTTGAGCAAACACACTGCTCAAAGCAAGACCAGTGTCTGGGGCTTGCAGAGGTGCCTTTGGGAGATCTGGACCTGTGAAAAGTTTAGATGTCATACAGGAAAGCAAACATACAAAAGAACATAGTTAAAAAGCAGAAGAAAACAAGCTATTAAAGAACCCTCCAAACCTTATCTTTTCTGCCTGTCGGGAGCAGTAGTGATTCATTGAAAGGGTAGATCTAACAGGATGGGAATTATCTTAAGGAACAGCTCGCAATTAATGGATAAAAGGCCAAAGTTTAGCCTGCCAACCCCATCTCCTGGCACTGGTTTTCGTTTGGCCATTACAGTGTGTCAGGGATGTCTCCTTCGCAGCTCTTCTTATCTGTGGGCTCAGGGAACAGCTCAGTGATGTTGGCTGAAATTCAGAGCAGCAGTTAAGTTTAACCATGGAGTTTGTGCCTTTGGGCCTTGGAGAACCAGGTCTAGGTGAGGGATAACGAGCTCCTGCAGTAACAGAGGGGGCTGGTGGGCACAGCCTGGGGTGGGGATGTAGGAGATGCTGGGGCTCATTTGCACTGACTTTCTTGGTGCTGAGAACTGAGTCCTGAACTTGGCTGGATCCTCTTCTTCTGTTAATTTGAAGATATCTTCTTTCTGAGGCAACCCCTAAAGTCACCTTCAGAAGTGTTATTCCCACCCAGCCATCCGTGGGCAGGAGTACGCAAGCAAGGGGCAGGAGTGGGAAGGGAAGGGAACAGAAGGCAGCGCTGAAGTGTTGTCAGGGATTCCCTGTTTCTCTGTTCTGGCAAAATTTCTGGCAGAATAATAGGAAAGAATATTCAGTGCCTTTCCTACCCCAGTCAATGATGCCCCCCTGAGCCCCAGCAGAGCCCTGCAGCAGTCCTGGCATCCCCACTGGGGCAGATGCAGGAGCACGGAGAACAATCCAGCTCTGGGGCTGGAGGAGCCTTGTCCTTCCTCCTCTCTTTCCAAAGTCTCAGGCCCAGCACAAAAACATTGCTGGCCCAAGGCTTCTCCATTAGCCAGCAGTGATGTTCTCACTGGTGATAACGGGCCGGGTCAGGCCCCTAATTGCAGCAATAGCTCCTTAATGAGCAGGAACTGCAGCAATTCCATCGGCTGTCACCACTGACAGGAACAAAGTTCAGCTTGCTCCCAGCTCCAGTTGTTCTCATTATTTTTGTGTGTGTTGCATTCTCTAATCATCATCAGACTCCCCAGGACATGTTTTTAAGGTGACAAATTGACCACCAGCAAAGAGCTAAGACCAAGAACTTTTGTTTTCTCAGTGGGGCTGTACAAGGGCACAAAGCCCAGCAGCCTTTGGGCAGAAGCTGTTTGAGCTGAGCTATCCCTAAGTATTAGAACAGTGAGTTTTGTGTCTGCCAGCCAGGAGCTGTTTACCTGGCAACAAATCCTAATTGCTCCTGCTACATCCAAAGTGCACCAACACATTTTCATAAATATTTCCAACACATGGCACAGAGTTTGTCTGGTGGGCCAAGCAAACAGTTACCAGCCTGGATGACAACCCAGAGTCCCAGATTGCATCACTGGTGAGTACACAGAAATGCACTGTTCAGCTCCCTTGATGTGCTCCTATTAATGGCATTTTATTTAGCTGGGATTGAATCCTTCAGGCTGTAAATGGGATCCTCCTTTCAGGTCTCGTTTCCATGTCACTGTATTGTTCTAATCTGAATTTGAGCTCATTTAGAGTTTTGATTGCTCCTTTTCTTAGAGCAGCTTTCATTGAAATGCTGATAAAATGTGCCCTTTCTTAGGCTAGAACAGGATGTTTTCAAGGTAAAAAAACCCCAAACAACCACACTGCAAATGAAACAATAACTATTCTTTGGTCTCCAAGACTTTTACTCTCCTTGTGTGATTCCTAGGCTGTAATCTCACAGGACAGGTTTTGTCCTAACATTTGCATCTCTTAAGGTAAGTGTGCTGGTTTAAAAGTTAACCAGCAAGGCAAAATGAACTCAATTCA